CTTTTGTGCTCGTCCCTCTGCCCAGCTCTTCTGCGCACTTCCCCGCCTGGGGAAAGTCCTCACGGCTTGAAGCCCTTTCCTTTTGAGAAATAAGGAGAGTCATTCGCATGAGTAACTACCAGACGAGAGATGGAGTGAATTGATACATCCTTATAGAATTTAGAAAAGCAAATTAATCAGAAGATTTGTTATGATTGTTTAGCATACAATTGAGAATTGTGATGAATTTCTCACATGATGTAAACAATCTTGTTCATCAATTCGATTGAAATTCACTGGACAAATCATTGTCCTATGTTTGTGTTCAATTGTTTACTGAGGAGGGCCGATGAAATTCAATTGCCACCATTGCCACATTTTACTTTAGACTATAATGCCAGGTAAATGGTGTGGTTTTTGGAGTGAATTACAAAATCATGCACCCTCACTGTGCTGAGTATTGCTAAATGGGCTGCTGTGAAATTAGGGAACAGTAAAAGAGCTTATGGTGTACCGAAAAGTAGATTTATCCTCCGCAGAATTGGCTTGAGAGACAGTGAGCAGTAAATTTCATGAGTTGGAAGAGGAAAATTTCCTTTGGAATCCTCCCGGCTCTTCACCATCCAAATGATAACAATCAATTTTCACGGGGCACAAGAAGTCCTCTCTCTCTCTGTTTCCCTCGATTTGTATGGTATATTTTCTTTTTTTTTTAAACTTAATTCTAAGGATTTGTTTCTCTTTCTCATTCTTTTCTCTCCTTTGTGGTTTGCCCTTCGCTCAAACTGTGTGTGTGGCATCTGCAATGACTCGGAATGACCTTTATTTTCCGGATACCGGAACACAAAGGCGAGCAAAACACCCGGAAAGTCCCAATGAAAATTCAATGCGAGCTTTTTTGTGTCGACCGGTCGTCGCTCTCAAATGTCCTTAGGAAGTAAGTGGTCCGGAAGAAATGGAAAGAAAGTGAGGAATGTTGATGGAGAATCCATGAAAGTCACATGTGATTGTGAAGAGGAAAATTCCACAGCAGCACAAATGTGCATATTTGGTGCCGGATGAGGGCAAACCAGCGGATGGGGTGAAAAATTCCTCCCAGGTATATCTGCACAGTTTCCACCCCTAGATATTGATGCATCAAAGAATCATTGTGAATAGCATAGAGTGAAATATGGTTTCAACAATTTCACCATTTGTTTGCATCCCTCGTGCATTTGAGGAACATTTCCAACCATGCCCATTGTCAATGGTGGAGAATTTCATGGGGGGGGGGGGGGGGATGGGTGTATTTTTTCCAAGCCACCCTCAATGTCCTCAAACCGACTGATTTCACTTTGAAACCGAGCACACTCTCGAGAGGAAATTCTATCTATTGCATGCGGGATTCGATATTTCATTCTCTCTATTGTCAACTTCTTTTTTGTTCCACATCCTTCCGTTGCGACTGACTTGTGAATTGAAGTTCCTTTTTTCCCAGAGACCGAGGAATTGCTGAGTGACTTTCTTGTGATCAATACGTGTTGAACACTTCCTCATTCTGATACAAATTTGTCCCTTAATTCTGCTGTGATCAAATAACAAAGTATGCATCCGAAAGTTCGGATATTAAAAAGGAAATACCACAAGAGAGTGCTTGAATGAAATGTCGAGAAGACTTGCGGAAGAATCAACAATTCTCCTTTCCAATTACACGCGAGCGCGATCAAAAGTTCTCAACAGTCTTGCAGAATTTCTCCAGACAATGATTGACGATCCATCCCAATTTTCCTTCACCCCAGTGTGTCTCTTGTTATTGAAAGTTTTCCCATCTCTTGCAATAACGATGCATCATTTCGTGAAATGCTGCGGGGAGAGCTTTTGTGCCAGGAAATTGGGAAACAATTCCACTGCAGTTGATAGGAGATTTTCAAGTGATTCGTTTGGAATATGATATACTCAAAATAATGAACTTTCACAGACAGAATGGGAGTGCAATATCTAGGAAATAGACTTTTCATCAAAAATTAGACAATTGACGAAAGTATATTTTCACAAATCATTCATGAATTGTTGCCGTTTCGAGTGGAACAATTGTTAAAATGGGCGAGTGAGAAGTGTTTTCCCCGTAATTTACTAAAATATGGACAATTTCAATTCATCTCGTGATATAAGTACAAACAACCCAAAACCACCACATCATTGCAACATTTCCAAACCGCAGTTGAATTTAGCGCGAGAGAATGCTTTTGCTTTTCTATATTACAGCAGAGTTGGAAGCTTCTGTAGATGACCATGCAATCTGCATCGTCTATAGAAAATATGACGTAGAAGAATTTGGCGCGACGATAGAAAACCCCTCAATGCATGAGTTTAACTCTAGATATCACTACTGGTTGCCATGTTAACCAATCTTCGAAAAAGCATTTGATTCGTATTCAATTTCTGTTAAATCCTGTGCTAATGAGTTCTTTTGAAATGTGTTATTTCCATACATTTTAATAATACTCACATTTCCCGTAATAATCCTTTTTCATCACTGTGCAAAAATGAAATTCTTGGAAAAGGGTTCTGCAAATACGCAATTTTCATAAAATCCATATTGAATTGCACAATTAATTGTGTGTATTTTGCAATTCAATAGGGCAATAAATCCTCTCTTGATAAACCTATGCTGTAATGCAGTTTGAAAACATTCATTTCCAATTCACTATGTATTGCAAAATCATTCCTGCTGAACTTGGCAAAAGTCGCACAGCATCAAAAACTGTCTCTGGTGATTTGCAACTCTGCCCTGCAGCTGCCGAGATGAGGTGGCAGATCTGCTGGGCACGGCAAAACAATTCAAATGATTCACTGCAATATACAACCCTCATGGTGGATGGGAATTAACTGCGGTGGGAGTTTGCCAACTCCCACATCCTCGCGGTGTTTGTGCTCTCCATTTCGAGAATTGCACATAATATTAATTTATTGGAGTGTAAATAGCCTCGTGTACCTTCCCAAAACCACTTTCTGTAGCCCAGTGAAGCAATTGACTTTCCAGAGGCAATGTGGTGTCTTTCTATCATGGTGAAATTCCTCTTGCAAGAAAAGCTCCAGCTCCAAAGCCAACAATGGCATCTGAAAATCGAATTTTTCCAATTCAACGAACCAGTTAATCTTCACAAGTTGCTGAAGGTAGAAACTTTCAACCTGCGGAGCTTTCCCATATCCCGTACATCTTCATTCGCATTTTTCTCGTCTGCCATCGATTTGCCAGAGACGATATTCCATCTTTTCTGTTCGTGTGTGAAAATTCCTCATTCACATCGCCACATTTAGGGATAAGTTTGACCTGGAGGGTTGTCGGGATCACGAGAGAGCTTTTGGTGAGGCACAAAAGTGATCGCGTAGTTGAGTATTTCGTCAGACAATAGAAAAAAGCTGCAAAGCTCTACTATAAGTGGCAAAGAGGGCTCTTTTATCTCTACTTAATTCAATGGGTGACGCAAGGGAGGCAATGATAAGGCCAAACACCCCAAGTTTCTTGCGAAAAGGGGAAGTTTTCAGTCTCTCTGTGCGACCACTGATAAACCCCTTTTCATTCCCGAGAGAAAACACTTGATTTACAGACGTAGATAAACAGAGGAATGATTGGGACTTGAGGAGGGATTTCTGAGACAGACAAGATGATATCATAGCATTTTGATGGCTCAAAGCGAGACTTGCCAAACAGGCAATTCCTCTGATTTGCCAATCGTTTCATTAGATCAACGATATTCTGAATATATTCCATACTGGACGTTAAGCACAACATGGAAAAGCTCTTTAGTTTTGAGAAATCATCCAATTGCAGTGCCTCTTTTCGCGCTCACTCGCTTTTTTTCTCTCCCTCCCAACATTTCATGGACATACTTTCATGGTAAATTGAGGGCTCTTCAGCATGCACATTAATCTCACTGACCCGCCTTTTCCCAGAGGTTAGCGATGCTATCGCCAGGGCTTATGGAGTGTTGAATTTGTTGCTCAAGAAACGGCTCATGAGGGGTGCTTTTTCCGGATTTTCTGATTTTCACAAGAGATAGCGATAGCTAAAGTGTAGGGGTGCGATTGGAAAGGCTTTTTCCGGCAATTTGAACACCTTTTCACCATAACATCTTTTATCCTCGGCGAGAATTTTCCCCATTCATAAGGAAACAAAAGTTTAAATAACTCCTTTGGAACGATGAAGCATGAGTTTTCTACATATTCAAACTTGGTAATAATAATCCGACACATTTCATAGATAATAATAAAAGTACCATGAGAAAAAACAAAAACATTTTTAAAATGTTCTTTTGCTAAGATTCCTATACTTTTACACTGTGAAATCATTCCTTTTTCAGTGCAAAATGGAGTTGTCTATAAGTAATTGAAAATGTTCAATCCTTGGTTCAAATGTAAAGATTAAAAGAAATCGTCTGTCCAATCTAAAATCACAAGATCTGCTCGAAAATATCCACAAATGAAAGAAAAGACGCAAAAATGAATTTTTTATTAATCATTTCAGAAAATCATCGATTCAGAATCTAAAATAGACTTGTTAAGGGGAAGATAATATAGTCACTCTCTTGAGATTTTGCTGTGTTTAGATGTAATTCATTTTTTAAGATCTGCATTGCTAGTCAAGTAGCGAGAGAATCGAGTTTCAAGAATAAAAACATATTCACGGTGTCATTAATTAAAAGTTAACTGGCGAGGTAAGTCACCTCACTTGCTCCCCTCTCGAGTCGCCACGGAAGATCCTCGACCTTCAGTGAGCGTGTCGCGAGGGTCTGAAAGGGGGAAGAATGTGTGGGAATCACCCACTTTCAGCAGTCTCCTGGCCGCGGAGCCCATCGAGGCGGAACAGCGGGTCAGCAGTGCGTGTCGTTCGCGCCAAAGACCCACCATCTGGCGAGCGATAGACTCATGCAGTGCGGAGCATGAGAGTGAAGCGGTGGGAATGCTGTTCCCACAGACTCTGCGCGAAGGCAGCGGCGACAGTGGCTGAAGAAGGGAGACACGAATAGTGGTTCAGTTCACGCGCGACCGTCCATCGAAGCGGGCACAAGTTTGCCAGAGCACGGTGGGTTTCAGTGAGCCTGAGAGTATCTGGTGTGGCTGGAGGACTCTGACCGAAGGCAGGAAACGACAGGTGGTGAGAGTGAGACACCGAGGAAGAGATGTAGACCGCGAGGCAGTGAAATGGTGCAAGAATATCCCATGATCGTGGGATTATGAGAGCAACATTCGTATCTGGATTAAATCCAATCCCCGAAGAGCTTGTAATGCGGCCGGATTTAAATTGAATGTGGTAAAGTGAAGCCCCTGTTCTATTATAGCCCAAATTCTATGTTTTTTTCTGCCTGTCCAGTGGCCAAACCCATGTCTCTCTCGGGAGGTTGAATTTTAATTTAGTCTGCGGACACACACGCTGGGATTAATGAAGACACTATTGCGCCTCCTGCACGACAACCATGGCCAACTGCTGAGGATGGTTTTGGGTGGTGAGGGCATGATGAATCTGAAATAATCCCTTAGGCCAGCATCATGGTTAGTGTGTGTGTGTGTCTCTGAAATGCCACTTGCGAATCGAGGAGGCACCTTAATGTGATTACAAATGAGTGCTTCTGACTCTCCTGTGCACAATCCGGATGACCACATACATGATATCCTCGCAGTGGGACATCCTCTCAATGGTTGTTGAGGGCTTCTCGCATCCAAATCTCTCTCTCTCTCGTCTGATTTTTTCACACTTCCTCCCATGAGTTCCCACAAGTCTGCAAGTGACTTCCACAATCAACCACCCAAAGCAATTCCCATCCGAATATTTGTGAATGACGAGGGAAGGGTGAATTTGTGTTTATTCTTCGGTTTCGTGAGTTACAAATGTGCTCAAGAGGATGCTCAAGTGTTCGTTATTCAGCACGTGATTACTCGGGGAAGTACTACAAGTATATAGTAGAAAATTACGTCTCAAGGTATTTTCTCAACTGGTTTATGGTAAATTGAAGATGAAAACCACTCAATGTCCTGATAATTGCTGGGCAATTCAAATCAAGATATTTGTGGTGCTGTCAATTAGAGTAATAATTGTGACAGTATCATTGTATATATGACACGATGACTTATTGTGAAAATACAAGCTTTCTATGTTTATATGTTAGCTATGTCTCTAGCATTTCCCACGGCATTTTATCTAAACTCTTCCGCTGAAGTTGTACAAAACCACCAACAAAAGTATTGATGAGCTGCCAGTGGCAAAAAGTCGATTATATTCCGCGATTCAAAGTTAGGAACGTGAGAAGGGGTCATGATCGTATTTCGTGGGAGTTTAATTATTTCCCCAACCCTTTCAACAGACAAATGGACGTTCTTTTCAACACACACGCTAGTGCGAACTGTGTGTAGAGAAGGCATCCGCGTAAAAAATGTGGTGAAGACCAAATGAAAAGCTCCATTTTGGGGGGGAAAAGCGCGCAGTGTATGGAATTGAATACTGCACTTGAGTGAAAAATTCTAAATAGAATCCATTCACCTGTCACTGCTGAACTCGCACTTTCCCTCGCATCAGCAAGTGTTTCACAATGAACAAAAGAGGACAAAAAATCTCTCTGGGTGGAGAAGAGTGTGACTGGGGCAGGAAAAATGGTGGTGACACGGGAAGATGACAGCTAAGCGCTCCATGCCACAAAAGAAGACACTGCGGAGTTTTTTTCTGCTCCTCGCGTGAGGGTGAGAAAGTGCAGACAACATTGAAATTGACAACATATTTTTGACAACAGAGACACCCCATAAATCATGTGCGCCACCCCCAAAGCTCTTCCCGGGCAGATGAGCTTTGTACACAATTTGTTCATATGTTTTCCACCCTCTGCTGAATTTGCTCAGGTCTTTTTTTTCCGGACAACAAACACGTCGCACACAGTGCGTGTCTCATTTTTCTTCCACGAAACACCCATTTGCACATTGTTACACTTTTGGCGTAATTCGCCGTACCTTCAGTCGTCCCGACGGGAAAAAAGCTCTCCGGGTCGCCAGAGGCTCACTCGCTTCATTTACTCATCCACCCTTCCGCTTAGGCACGTTCGAGAGCCAATCTTTACTTTTTTCCCCCCAGAACACTTAATGCTTTACGGTGGCCAAAGTTGATTAAAGGTCAGCCAGATCAATTGAATAACTAATCCAGATTATGTAGTTTGTCCACGAAAGAGCTTTTTGTGCTGTTTATTTTTTTTTTTTCAACAGAAACAATAGTATTTCGCTAAAAGCAGGCACTTTTTTTGGGACCAAAAGTCACTCAGAATGATAATTGTGGAATGGAATTTGTCAAAGGTGTGAAACAGCAAAGCTTAATGCTTATTTCTGTGAATTTTAACTACATTTATTCCGAATGTAAATACATTCTGAAAAAAAAGAATAAAGTCACGGCGCAGTGACAGAAGTTGACATTTGAAAAAAAGCCATTTCCACACAGCAAAAAAACCTCTCAATGCTCAATAATTACAGTACCTTCATTCTGTACTTTCCCATCAAAGCATACATACAAAATGCACAGGCTTTTGATTACACACTGCAATCAAAGTGACGGGTGACATTTGGGGTGGAATGACAATTTAAATATCTCCATTAATGCAATTTGTCATTAAAACATACCATTTCGCAATTTATTACATTCCATCAAGCTCCATCCGTTCGTCTATTCACCCACACGCGGTAGGGGAGAAAAAAGAGGAATTTATTTACTCTTTCAAACACTGTTGATGCGCCTACGGAGAAATTGCTAAATTGCGAGGGATGATATTTTATTCGCTTCGCGACGCATTGAGGAAATACTTTCGCTGGGGGATGTTTAAATTTCTATTTTATTGTCGAAAGGCGCCCGGTGGCGGAGGAAAATGCCGATAGGCGTGAGGAAGAATCAACAAAAATTATCAAATCGATCCTCCAAGTGAAGCAGAAAAAGTGGGTTGTGTGAGTGCTTGAGAGGAAAGACTTGGCACAATTCAACCCTCCTCTGATGGTGTCTCATCGTGTGACGAGCTTCCCACGAGCACTCACTTTTTCTTTCAACAGTCTTCGATTTATTTAGCATTCAATTCCTCAACGCACGCTAACGCCCTCAGGGAGGTTTTTCGGATATACAGAGAGGAATTTCACAGCATAATGCGATAGAAGAATTAAAAAGGCGAAAACTTTTGAAGAGAACTTAAAGGATTTTTTCACTTGGTGCAAGACAAACAAATGCCGAGAAATATATTTATTGCTATTAGATTAAAGCTTTGGGGATGATTCTAATAAGAAACAACAACAGCTGAAAGTTTATAATCGCATAAAAAGTGAAAATTATGAGCGAAAATTGAGATTGTTTGGTAGTTTATAGAGCTTAAATGCATCTTTTTGTCTGAAAGTTTTGGATAATTGGACTTCTAATGATCACTAAATTTGTTATATTAGTTAATGGAGTTTCATTTTATCAACACCAAAATTAAATTACAGTCAATCTGCATTATCTTTTGATGAAAGCATTCCAGTTAGAATTTATTTCCAGATATACAATTTTCTTTCTTCAACATTTCAACACAGTTTTCTGTCGCGTGAAAGAGAATCTATAAAAAATGTTGTGTGGGAAAAGCATTTTTCCTCTCTGAAGAACAATTTGGTTTTTTTTCCGTCACAATCAAATATTTCCAAATTGGACGTGTTATTTATTTCTCTTGAAATTTATTTACACTCTCATCACAGAGTGAGAGCTTTCTTTTGTCTGGGGCTTTTCACTTGGAAATTAATTCGATGAGAAATTGATCAAATTACAGCTGCAGAAATGGTGAAAAGCTTTTATTTCTTTGATGGGGAAAAAAGGCCCCGCATGTGTTGACATTCTCTTCTTGCTCCTGCTTTTTCTCATTGGCGCCGGGCTGAAGAAATTGGTGGGTGTGTAAGAAAGCCCTGGAGGAAGTGATGGAACGAGTCCTAAGACATTCTCACGGGAGCTTTGTAGCTCTTTTTCCGCCACTTCCCATGGAGATTGAAATGCCAGAGATTGCGTGGGGTTAATTCAAATTGATTTCATCACACTTTCTCTCTTTCTCACTCATTCTGGGGTGATGAAAATTGAAAGTGAGAGGAATGAAAATTGAAATCTTATCCAAATGACGAAAATCACGATGGCAGTATTACATTGAATTCATCCTCTAAAAATATCTCAACACTGACAATTTTCCTGTCTCCACTTCGTGTTCGCATTTTGTGGGAAATCACTGCTCACGAGGGCTGCCAATTTTGACTTTTGTCAGCTGATTTGAGCCGTGAAGATCAGCGTGAAAGTGCTGTGCAGATTTCCAATTGTGCGCCCCTCGTTAAGTCTCTGTGTTGATCTTTTTCGCATTCCCCAATGAGTCTTGCTGAGGAGAGGAAAATGCGGCAACTCTTGCTTGTTTTACAATAAACCATAAAGTAAATTTATCTGACTCTTGGCAACCGGACAAACATTGAGGTATATAGTACTATGTGAAGATTTAACCCACAGACACAGAAAAGTGAGACACAGTTCTCAGGAGAAAAGCGCTCAACATCTTCCAGAGACTCTATTTCAATGGGGTAAAATGATATCGCCTCGAAGCCAGAGACAATTGCCATATGATTCTGTATTTGCAAGAAAATCTTCTTAACGATTTTGGCATCTCTTTTTCACTCTGACGCGCTTCCTGTGCAAATTTATGTAAATTCTCGTGACATTCGCCATGCTTACCATTAATGCTTCGTGGCACTGAAATTGATTTACAAGTCTTGTGAATGGGAAGACATCTCTTCATTGCGAATTTATCAAGGATTTTCAATTAAGACACCCCAAAGTGCATTTAACTTTGTCGTGTAAATTGTTCCTATCTCCCTCGCACCCAAACTTCATAGTATTTTCATCACAATCTTCTTCCAAAAAGCGACATTTTCCTCCCCATTCCGCACAAAAACCCACCCCTTTCGTGTGATGAATTCATCTGCATAATTCTCACGTTCACAGCGACGGTGAACGGACACGAAGATTGAGTCACGGAGCTTTTAGCATTGCATCTATTCGCCTTCTTATATCTAATTACAAACTCTATTTGTTGTCTTTCGGGAAGTCGAGAAGCTTCCGGCGGAGAATTCATGAGGTAAGAAGTAAAAAAAACCACCGGACGTGACAGTAAACTTTTCTCATTACTTTTACATGTGAATGATGTATTTTCACCTGGACGAAATCTGCCAGTATGAAGTAGAAAATAATTTTCTTTGACTATGTTTAGCACATTGTACAAGCTTTTCAAGCAGAATAAATTTTTAAGCATCATAAATTAATCTTCTTTCCCCGTTATTAAATTCTTTCGCATATTTTTCACAATAAACAACATTTCTTGCCTGCAACAAGAATTCCACTTTAGAGACTCAATTAACAACTTTTTCATTTCCATTCTTAATTCTACTTGCTTCGTGGAAAAACTCACAAGGCTCTGTATTAGGGAAAATAGTCATACTTTAAGGAAATACACTTACTGGTGGATACACATTTCTAAACAAATATCAATTCATGCGATAAGTGGGAAAACTCTACAACAACTCTTGTGGAAAATGGCTAAAAGAAAATTGGGAAACAATCCAATCAGAGGAAAAATCAACAAATTGAGCCAAAGAGTGTAAATAGCGAAAATTGACGTTGTGACGCTTGGAAAAGTGAGCAAATTTCTGTTGTGATTCAAATCACATCGCATCTAAACATAGAAATGATGTTTCAGTCTGTTTTTTGTTGAAATAAATAATTTGAGGAGGCTTTTCTTCTAAGAAGACGCTTTGTAGCACGCTTAGACGATGTGATGAATTATTCAAAGCAGTGTTTTGACAACAAAGACTGGACTTTTCCACACTCAAATTTGGCAGCTAAAGCCACAAATTGGCACATCTTTCTTATTTCATGCAGTGGCATTTTGATACTCTGCCCGAAAGCTCTCATATTTATACATATATAATGTGTTGTGCGTTAGAGTAATGGCATTCAATTTAAATTTTAAATGTCATATTAATGGTGATTATCGGCACTTTGATGAATAATTAATTGAGGCAAAATGTTCGGGGTTCCTGCTGATGAACCCTCACATATTAAATTGAATAATGTGTTCTCTGTCCTGAAAATGAGGATGAAATTCTGCCCAGAGATTCCTTCATTAAAATATTTAACCCAAACATGAGCGGTCTTTTTCAGGTCCATCAAAACGCTGTTGAATTTATATTCGAAATTCGCGGCTGGTTGACACGATATCATGGGTATTGAATTTAATGGTGATTAGTTACCTCCACTTAACCCTATTGAAATACCATAAATGTACAAATCATATACACGCATTACATGTGAAATAATATTCTCATACAAAGAGCAGCGCGGTTTAATTGAAAATTTTGGGAATATTAGCTAATGAAAGTGCAATGACACATGTCACTTACATGTGTTTTGCCTTAATAGAATTTGTTGTATGAATTTTTTACCGAATAACTATGCATTCTTTTATTGGCCATGAAAAATTCTTGAAGCAGAATATAGTGTGAATATTCCATTTACCCACTATGTTAAATACTCTCAGCTGTCTTCACTAATTCTCTCAATGACAATGATGCACCGGGAACCCTTATATTTCACGTGAGTTGCTCTTTTAGTGCCACAATTTTCCTGTCTGACTCATATTAAAGTCGAGCATTTGAATGAATCACACACAGTGCATTGAAATTCGCACTAAAATTAGATCAAATACGAGAGAGAGACCGAATTTCGTGTGACTATTCACTCTAGCCTAGAGCTAGACACTCTCATGTGTAATTTCGTCTCTTCCAAAGTATGAATTTTTATGAGGTTTCATTTTCTATGGATCTTCAGTCCATTATAGCGGAAGAGATCTATCAGATCGCCATATGAAATTGGACAATTTGCCAGTATTTTTATGACATTCTCCATGTTGAGGAGGGAAAAATATTTGCATAACACACCAGAATTTCATATGTGAAACACCACAAATCACAATAAATACATTTTCCTCTCCTTTTGGATATATATTTTATTCTTCGTGCTGTAAAACTCTCCTTGAGTCCAATAAATTCCCGTCACGTTGCAGTGATCATCTTTAAAATTTTTGTACCCAACCAAAAAAAAACCCTCTTCATTTCATACTATACGTCATTCTCCAGCATTATTGATTTGTTTCATGGAGCGTCTTCTTTTTTACATCCATTTCTCTATGGAAATGAAGTCCATTCGTGCTTTTATAGGCCACTTTGGCACATAAATTAGCCCCAATATTTTGGCTTTGGTGAAATGTGTTTCTCCATGCAAAGGAAAAAAAGTCGTGCCAATAATTTACAGTGAATTGACTTGAAATTAAATTATATATTTTTCACGACACTCTGTCTTTGTGCTGTCGCAGAGTCGCGAAAAGGAGTTCACCAGTGGAGGCGCCAAGTGGTGTGCGAAGCACCAGGCGCCTCCGCTGCACTTCACGTTCTATAAATAGATTTTGCGAGGATGTTCGCTATAAAATGAATTTTCACTTAATCCCTCGTGGTGTTGGGGCCATCGCATAAATACTGTGATGATGGAGGAAGACTGTCTTGGGATGGAGAGAAAATCCACAAACAAATTGGGTGTCTTGGCGTTGGAGAGTTCACCACAGAAGAAAATCACTTTTTCACTCACTCTTGCTCTCTTTCTCATCTTCTGCCACACAAGCAAACAGCACAACCCCCAACTGAAAACAGAATGTGGCGAGAAGAGAAGTAGGAAAAAAGAGAAGAAAATTATTATTAACACAATAATAATGTATGAGGGATGTGGTGATTTAAATAAAAAGAAGGGATGCTGAAGTCAAGGCAACAAGGGTGGAATTTCGGCATGTTCCTCTCCAGGTTCTTTCCCTTTTTTGCGTCGCTACTTGTCTTCATAGAAAGGAAAACACTGGGCAACGGTGCAGAAAGTTAGTATGAATCAAATTTGAATAATTCATTCTTAAACTCTCTTCCCCATCACAGTTTCTTCATGTGAAAAATTTCACATATCGCGGGTGAAAGAAAAACCATACAGAAAAGGAGAAATCAAATTCTCCTCTTCCATACATTAAATCTGTACTTCACATGTTGATTTCTAAGTGTGAGTCTTATTTAAACAGAGTAATTATTTTGCACCTATATTCTGATCCTCATTAAACTCCACGTGGACAAGTGCCTTTTCGCTAATTTTCCAGCTACTGCATTTCAGTGAAATTCACCCAGTGCCCAACCAAGGAAAATTCGCTACAAACATCAATGCCCTCTCGCATGATGAGAGTCCATAAAAATTCTCACCCATAATGCCTTGTGACCAATTAGAAAGCGCTCCGCCATGAGAACTTTTCCCGAGAATATGCAAATAAGTCGTGCGTGGAAAGTGCCTTTGAGGATGAAATTTCGAGGGTGGGTTTTTTTGTGCCATTCTTGAGCATCTCTTGAAGAAACAACAAAGGCAAAGGCAACAATTTGATATCGTGAATGAAAAAAGAGAGAGAGAAAGAGACCTTTTGATGGAATATTATCTCGAGTGGAGGAGAAATAAAAAGCTAAAAGGAGGGTTGGAAAAGCAGTAGAAATTCCGAGGGAGAGAAAAAGTATTCCAATCAACTGAATGTTAATTGTTTGATAATTAAAGAGGAAGAGCTCTTTTCCGGCCATTCCACGCCACCCACTGCTTTTCTTCCTCCCTCCACTTTTCCTTCTTCGCCATGGCTTTCAGCAATTGCAAATGGATAGGAATGTTTCATGTGAAAATTCCCCGTTGACAAAAAGAGTAAAACCATAAGCTTATAGAAAACATACACTTTTCTCCCCCTTTTCCTGCCTCCTTGTCGTGTGGCGACTTTTTCCACACCGACGTCTTACTTGCAAGCCAAAGGGGGAGGCTTTTCTGCTGTGTTGTGTATGTGTGTGGGTGCGAAAATTTGGGGCATTTTCTGGAGTTGCCTTCATTTACATTGAGTGCGGACGGAAGAATATTGAAAAGTGTGGTTTTTCTTGGGTAATTTAGCCCACCAACAAATTTACGATCTGTCGTGATTTCCCGTTATAAAGCCACTCTCCATTTTCACATTTTCCCGGAGCTCTTCCGTCCACCCAACCGCCCCCATTTTCACTGTGGCGGAAAATCCAAGAGGATGGGATATAGAATTATTTTTCCGGCTCTCGTATCACGTCGGTGTCCTGTTTATTTGCTCCCTGCTGTGTTTTCTTGTACTATAACCACCCCCGAAAAAATGTTGTGCTCAAGTTAGTCCCACAGCATGTCATGGTGAGGTGTGATTTCTGTGCCTTCCAACGAGGAATGCTCTTACGAGGGCATCCTTTGTGGTATATTTTGAGAGCTCTTGAGACACTTTGCATACTCCACTTCCAATATCTGTGACCACATCATGCTTTCCCGGCCAACCATCATTGTCGAAACGTCCCTCAGCTCAGCTGAAAAAGAGAGCGGGAAAAAGAGGCGAGTCTGTGCGATAATCCCAAAATTTCCCTCAAACACATTTCCGTGGCCGAGAAAAAAGGGAGAGAGAGAGAGGAATGGTTCCAATTTTCATATTTTTCCCACCCACGAACGACGGTCCAACATTTTGTAGGCCAGAGAGAGAGAGAGAGAGAGAGAGGGAGCAAGAGAAGGAAAAGTGTAACAAAGAAGGGGTGGAAATGCAGTAAAAGTTTAATGATCCATTTTACATGATATTCACCCCTTTTTTTGGGGTTTGACTGGAAAAGCTCTCCCTCGCGCACAGTGAGAAAAAAGCTCCGCATGTCACTTCATTTCCCGACTGGAAGGCTTTACGGGTGAAGGGGTGCAGAACAGTAGATAAAATTACCCAAATACATCTTGTTGCTCTTTCCGTCACAAACCCACTCGTGTGGCTTCCGCTCGGCGGCAGGAAAAAAACGGTCTGAAATTGAATAAGTTCCTAAGGCTTATTAAATTTCAGAAAAATTTAGATTTTAAGTCGGTTTGCTCGACAAATTGTATTATAGTACTTTTTCTTGTTAAAGACCTTCTTTTCTCTCTTCTTCACCATCTTTTCAGATATCCTTATGGCATTTCAACAGACGTGAAGTCCACCGACGTTGTCAAAGGGGCATTGAATGTGCGGTGAATGAAAGAAAAGTGTTTAGCTTGAGCAATGGCAGCATAATTGGTATACAATTTCTTTGAGGAAAAGCACCAATTATAGAGCGTCAAGAGTGGTTTCAGGCACTTTCGTGGGACTTTTATCGATTTCAGACGAGTTTATAAATGAAATGTGAATTGAAGAGACACGTTTTAAATTAATAATTCAATGAAAATTGCATTTTAGTCAAAAACATACATAGGCAGAAAGCAATTAATCTGCCAATCTTCCAATGAATGCATAAAGAAAAGAAACTTACCAAAGTAATTGCTGTGAAGTGTAGGAATATCCTGAAAAATTGTGCTAATATCCTCCATGATGGTTCATTCAGTGGTGTGCTAATCACTTAATTGGCCAGTCAATTGAATCATCCACAGAGCATTTCCTCGTTTTTCCTCCCTCTTCTGTGAACGTGGAGATAATTGTACTTGAAAAATGCATACAAGACGTGCTAATTGGAGTGAAAACAGCTGGAGATGGATTCTCTTCACATTCGCCATCATCAACTTCTGGTGTGGAACTAAATGTGAAGGTATGTGACACTTTTTTCATCACTGCACAAGCTCTCATTAGGCCAATCGATGATCTCAGAGTGAAGGGGTTTGCAATTGAGCAGAGACGAGTTAGAAAGTCTCTTCAGTTCGAAACAGCAAAGAAAAAGTTTGTTCTACCATCGCTAGCACACTATAAAATTTATCTGTACTAGAAATTAATTTGACATCGGAAAAAATTATGACAAGTAAGATAGAGATTGAAAATTAATTTAATGTTTAGTCTTTTGACATTTCTCTGTGTTGCTTTTATTTTTATTTCAAAATTACACTGTTGCGGAAAAACATTACTCCAAGTAAACAAGAATTGAAAGCATGACGCAACCAGCGAAAACTTTTCAAGTTACTTGGATAAATAATATATATTATTGCCATTATTGCACCACATGGAAATTTTCCCACATTATTTCTCTATACTAATTGTCTAAATTTTGTCATTGATAGAATAATAATAACAAAATAGGGTTCTTGACTCCCCTTTGAATAGATAATCGTCAATTTTTGCCCTCCTTCACATCATACGGCAATTTATATACAGATTAAAGGGAAAGTCATGAAAATAGATACATAAATAGCACCTGGCAAAATATACAAATATGTATATATTCAGTGAAAAATACTAAATATATAAATAAATAAATGATTGAGGATACATACATGCGGATAGGAGTGTACATATAGAAACGTATGCAATGCATGCGATTAAGGACTCTTCCGTCCACAGTTATATTCATACTCTTAGCAATTTGCATTGTATATCATAAGGAATTCTGAAATATTTATACTCAGTAAATGTACATTGTAGTTTGTGAGTTATTTTTGATGTGACAACAGAAAAAGATGAATATTTCATAGAACTTTTCTACTGGCGATCCGTAAAATGAAAGCAGTTGGGAATTTTCTAAACAATCCCATTGTTTTAATTATTTCTCCACTATGAACTGTTCTGGATGCATTTTGAGAAATGAACAAAATGCATGCTTCTCAATTAACTGCTCTTTACAATGGCTTTGCATATATTTCACGAATTGTACGCCCTTCTGTACTGCAGCGGCGTAAATTGCGCCAGCAGGACGTTCCCAGTGAAAATGTCCAGAACCCCTTTCAACCGTCCATTTCCGCGTTAAATCATGTGGAAAATTGGGCAAAAAAGTCCTCCCCAAAGCTCCACTGAGGTGATTTCTACTGGAAAATTTCTCAAATGAATTAAATTAGAGCTCCTCTTTTGCTTTTTTCCCTCCCCATGCCCCGTCAAGAAATTAAGTCAACAATTTACAAGAGTGATTTGCATCTGACGTTCTCTTGGGAGATATTTTTGAGATTATCGTTCCCTCGTTTGAAGATGGAGAAGGAGAGAATGCCATAAAATTAACTTAATCCTTTTTCCACCTTCTTCATTGCCATCTTCACGGGTGAATTTCTTTCACTCACCATGAAAATGCGGAGCGCGAGAGCCATGTTTCGGGACATTGAAAGTCATTAAAAAGAAATTGTGGAATTCTCATTAGGGCATGAAGCGGAAGGAGGCACAAGAAAGTGCTGTCCTACCTGTCTTCAGGTAACTAGAGACCATCTTCCTGGGATTTTTTTTCTCAGCCGAGAGTCTCCCGTTTCATCATAATTCGCCATGAATGGCTTTTATGTACTCAAATAGCTGTGCTCGTAATTTGATCATTTTATTGCTCAAGAATCTCCAACACACACACTTACAACCTCGACGGGATGTAATTTAACCCCATCTCCCAGTGTCACATTGACAATACTAATGACCCTCTTGAGTGCTCTTCTTGCCGTTCATCCGTTGAGACATTATCCATTCCCAAAATTCTTCGCAATATCTCACATCTTTTCAGCTCTTTGACGATCTTTTTTGTCCCTTTCACAGATATGTTTTGGGTGGATTCCAATTAGAAATTTACAATCTTCAAGGCGATGTTTTGAAATGAAGAAGTCATATAAATGACAGTATTCTGATCTATATTAATCAAGATATTAATATTTTTTCACGCCAACCCAAGATATATGTGAAGATACGACAAAGAATATGTCACTGATGAGATATCTTGGCAACATTCCCTCACTGGATTTTTGTATGGTTGGAATTTTTTCGAAGAAAGGGAAAATAGACGAAACAAACGACTTGCTAATGCTATCTAATTGGGCCTTTGGATGATGTTACATAGGAATATTTTTGTCCAGGCGCGCAATTTACGGTCAGTGGTTACACTCGGGAGGGTTTTCGAGTTCTAGTCTCACGGAGACATGAAAGAGTCGTGCCAAGAAGTTATCCAAGCCATAGTAAAATATTCATATATGTGCAAGTCGTGGAGAATCGTGGGAAGAAGCCTCGAAATGCAAGATATGTTCGTTCCGGTCATCGTGGAAAAATCACTCGCAACAGATTTAATCACATCGAATAAAAATTCCACAAGTTTGCCAAGCTATAAATAAAGTGACACGGCGAGAGGTGGTGACCTCAGTGTTGAGAAACTTTTACCCACCCTCATGTGGAAGAATGTGGAATCGAGATGGCGATGCTATTTCCTTTGACCCTCTTTCACTCTATGAGCCAGAAGCCAGTAACTTTTCTGATTCTCGAAGGCGGAACTTTCCGGTGAAACTCTATATTCTAGCCTCCTCTTTTTTTCGGGTTAAGAGGAAGAAGGTCGTGTCTCTGCATACACAACAATGTGGCGCGAACAATGAGTTTGAAGAGCCACTGAGAATGAGAAATGTTGGTTGGGATTTTCAGCGAACCGTTTCGTTCACTTCCGCTCAATTCTTATGAGAGAGTCTCTTTTCTTCGAGTGTTTCAAATGGGATGATATTCCCCCTGCTCTGTCGCCGTGCTCTCAGGACAAGATACTCTGTCACAATACACCTCAATTTTCCTCCCTCCCATTGAAAAGTATGCTCTTGTGCACCACTATTTCCACTCTTCCTCGGCAACAGAATGTCCCGGGGGAGAATTGAGGGACGACGAGATGATGTCTCTCTAACCCAAAATATAGTCAGACAATATTTAATGGTTAATTCGAGAAAATGTTTCTATTTAGCCGCCTTCCTTATGACACCATCTAAATTTATCGCCCAAGGGTGCCTCTATATTTGCAATTCCCATTTGAGGCACAAAGGAAAGATGGGAAAATTTGGAAAATCATATTTGGGCGAGGCTCGTGAAGAAATAGTTGAGATAGTTTTGACTGAAATATCGTTTACATTCACCTTTATTTAATTCTGTGAAGTATTTTAATCTCACAGTCTAGAATGAATGGTGAAGTTAAGATGCTTGAAAATAATGAACAAACTCATTATAACTGTGCAGTTTGTTATCTACTCCTTTCCTGAGAACTATTGAAGTTCTCCCTGATCATATTTTACTCAACTATACTTCACAATCCTCGCTTGAGATGCTCTGAAATCCTTTCCAGCAATTGATGTTGGGAATTTTCCAGAGTTGTACTGAAGATTTCCTATAAAAGGTAATGCGTTTTGACGTTAAGCCTCTCAGAAAAGTCAATTGAAGTATAGAAAATGCTCTCTTAAGCTCTCAAATGGAAAATAAGCTCAGGCCAGAGTTGGTGGTTCTTTGTCCAACTTGTGGGTGAATTTATCGGTGGTAATATCTCAAAGAGAAAAGCCATTTGACGGGAATTTCTATCTTCTTCCTCATGTGGTGAATGTGCGGATGCAATAATATGGAAATAATGCGCAGATATTGAACCACACGAGCGGCTATTTAGTCCACCCTGGCCTTCCATATGGTCACAATTTGCCAACCCCACGTATAATTATGAAATTGTGGGGCGCCTCTTGGGCAATTTTTCGGGCAAGTCACGCCAATGGTGGGCGCTTCACGTGTGGCAGAGAGATAATATGATTTTCACGAAAACACCATAAATTACTGAATAATTCACCACACTTCCGACAACACTGCATTGACCACCCAGAAGTTCACACCCATGAAAGTTTGGATCCAAGTAATTTGCATGGCATTTCCTTGCTGAAAATTGATTATTCGGAACAATATTTTTCCCCTGCTCTGCTGAATATAAATAACATAATCCAATGACTATAAAGTCCTTATTTGAATTATCTACTAAGAAATCGAGTTTTCTTTTTCTCATATACACAAGATAACTTTCCAATCACTCCTCAGGACATTAAGCCGCAGCATCGCAAATCCATTTGATTAAATGAGATGGAAAATTGCATGCGGAAAATCTGTTGGAGAATTTTCACAGTGAAATTTGCAGAATATTGAAAATTGCGAATAATGGGTGATTTCCATGGCGGATAATCCCATCCATAAACATAACCGAGGAAGTCTCGCTGAAATATTGAAAAGTTCCCAGTACGAAGATGAGTCTCTGGCAAAGTCAAACATAGTGAAAGCTTAAATGTCATTTCCTGCAGAGGCGAAAAAGCTCATCATTGAACTTATCAGACAACGCCACATCCGCCACTGAATTATTCCAATGCTAAATCTCTCTTCGCGCTTTATCCATTTTCGCTTTATCTACTCTGGGTTTTCTCTCTTCGCTTGCTTACTTGTCAAACTACACCAGAAACTCTGAGTGCCTGTAAAAGTTTTCCACCCACCCCTGTGAAAACATCATTTGATGGGTGAAAATCTCAAGAGCTTTCGGGCGGATCTATAGAGCGTGATAATAAATTCTCGAGCAATAATGTATGCTAATTATTTCACTGTATCCGTGTTTACATACATACTCACGCCAAACACTCTTTTACCAACTGATTTGCTATTCAAAAGGGGGAATCAGACGAACTTTTCTCACATCCTTTTCGCTCTGTGTATGTGTGAGATTAATTTGCCATCGTGTGTCCTCGCCTATGCTCAAAGATAAATATTACATCAGAGAGAGAGAGAGAGAGAGAGAGAGAAAGACTGAGAGCTTTCCAGATAATATGGAAATTCAATGCATTTCGTATCAGGCAAGTTTAATGAGAAATTTTACTC